GTACAGATTGAAACTCTACATGTTTAACCCTCTGTCTTGGATGTAACATGTGTGAGCTTTTGGATCGAGCCTGGTACATTGTGAGCTTTGAACTTTAAATCCGACCCAGTGATATTCAATAAATACAATCATTGGTTTTGCACAATTGTAGCTGGATTTGGGAAGGATTGTGGAGCTGGGGTAGAGCCAGTTTTTGTGCCCCACACAGGTGTCTTTCACACATTGGAAATTACAACACACTCATTGTCAGGAACATGCTGTATGAAAAAAAAAATAAGAATAAAATACTAGAAAACTGATTGTACTTTTGCTGAGGATGCCCCACATTTGTGGAATAACTTCCTATTAGGTAACCATACTCCTCACACTGTAGACTTATTTAAACGTTAACAACCAAAGTATTTCGTAGAGCATTTGAGTGGACTTCATTGTGTTTTCTATTTTCTAAAAATAGAAGCTCTATTTATGCTATTACTTTTTAAGCATTATTTGAAGCATTCTAGTTAGAGATTTCTTGTTTTTTTATTGTGGTATACAAATTAATTTGACTATGATGTTGTTTCAGCTTAAAAATAGTATTCCAAGTTATGATTTATTATTTTCTTTTAATTAAATGACAACATAACAAGTTAAGTGAACGACAGTTATTTGTCTAAAGTTATTGTCTACGATTCCAACATTCCTAAAGCTTGATTTTAACTAGTCACTTACTGACAACAATCACCTTTCCTGGATGAGCTGGTAGTGGCAGTGGATAATCACTTGCATTGTGTTGTTGACTTTGGAGCAGTCCCCCAAGCTAAGCATACATGTGGCGACAGTGGAGAGGAAAACTCCCATTTAACAGGAAGCGACTTCTCGTAGAACCTGGCTCAGTAACAAAAAAATAACTTATCAACAATAAGTCTGAATGGGGAGTGTGTAAGATTTATTACTGTTTCAAATGTGTGAGTTTAAGAATTTCAACTAACCTCATAAATGTTTAACTGGAAATCTTTATAATGTGGTAGTTATGTGAACATTCAACAATAAATGTGAAAAACTTTCTTTGTTCTTGAGCCATATTTTATGCATGATGTTTCCATTTTCAAATAAATCTTGACAAATAAGTACGACGAGTGCTTTAAAAAACAACCAATTGAATGTGAGCCCCTTTTTTTCCGCGACTTAATCAAAACTGATTATTGTGTTAAAAATCTGTACAAAGACCACGACTGCCAGACTAAATGATTATGTCTCAGGAATACTCATATGGTAGTACAATTGATGTTTGCAGCACTTCCATGCATTACTACCCATAAAGGCTTCTTCTAACGTATATCTGTCAGCGTTCCCGTTATCATAGGGCTTCTGGTTTAATGCGGCCAAAATGACATGGCCCAGCAAAACCAGTGTTACTGAAAATGGTCTCAGATGAGGCAAAATCTACCCAACACGATCTTCCTGTCTTTCCCTCTCCAAGTCTTTCACACACAAGCCAACACACACAGAGGGAGCCAGGGGCCAGGAGCTTACAGTAAATAAAACCAGTCTCTCCTTAATTAGCTCCTTGCCTCAGGGTGAAAACACAGGGAAAGTGTGTCAGTCGCTGCCTATGTTGGACACTGAAGGGACGCCCAGTCTTTCTGACCAAAGAGCCTAGAAAATGTGCATTTTTGCACTCAGATTTCAGCTAAGATGCAGTTAAACATCATTATTTTTACTGAACTATAGGGGCATATTTTTAAAATAGTCTCACACTTTTCTGTATATTTGGGTTTTTTAAAGTTTCAACAATTTACTCTATAAACACTCTATAAAAGAAAGACAACTTTATTTTCATACATGAGCTGCAATTAAAATTCATAATAAAATTTAAAATTAGGCCACAGTCATCAGAAGATACCCAAATCCGTTTAAGTGGAAAAAGCTGATTAAATTTAACAATTACAAATTAATGTCAGTATTTACCGTTGCGCCTGAGTGACGGCTCAGCCTCTTACCAGAACCTTCATTAGGATTTTAAAAATAAGCCTTCATGAAGCAGCGTAGCTCTGAGTTAGTGACCCTCGCACAACGCCAGCATGAGATGTACGCTTGAAAGTAATCTTTTTTAATAGCGTGTCCTATTTGGCTATTTTTTCAAGGAAATCTGATATTTATAAGAACTACAAATAAAAATGAGTTTATATATTTTAGATAAGAAATGCTGTCTATGTGTATGCCTGTCTTACAGAACTGATTTTAATAAGCTGGTCAGCTGAAGGTAAGAGCAGTACACTACTGACCCCTGCTGGTAAGATATTTTGGAAACGGAGTATCAACCACTCATGTGAACTTTATCTGCGCACGTTGACTGCACTGCAAAGTGATTTTTTGGGGGTGACGTAAAACACACAGTTCTAATTAACGTAAATGTTAGGGTTCTATTCCCTGAACATTATGTGAAGTATTATTTAAAAAAATAAAAAAAAACCTTACCACCCTGCCTCCAACCATCACCACCACACACGCACACATGCAAACACACATTCCTGGTTACAAATGATCAGCGTTTTTCCATATAAATTATTTTCCTCATAAATATTTAGAATAGCTCCTCCTCGTGAGGTAAGTGAGAGTATACCGGTGGAGAATACTGGTGTACCTGTTCTGATTTACAGAGCAGATTTTGTTTTTGTTTTGTTTTTTTTTTGTACAAACTCTTCTCTGAAAAGGATACGTTGAACATTTGTCCCCCATCCAAAAGCCTCATGTGTCACACCTGACTTAACAGCGGCGGGGATGTTAAAGAGCAGCGGATTTACACCTCGTTGCTCATTTGATGTCACTAAGCTATGGGTCAGAGTGAGGAGGAGAGTGCTGGTGAGTAAGACCTCTGGGGGAGAGCAGCTTCAGGAGGTTAAGTAAATCTTGTAGTGGACAAAGGCTCAATCAGATGGAACACAGAGGGGGCTTGTTGTGACTCAAATCGTCATTGAGCAGTAGGAATAGGGGCATTCAGTGAAATAATACACCTGCTTGAGTCTCGCAGAAACTTACATTTGTTTGATTGAAGACTCTTTTTTTTTTCCTCCCTATTGCGTTGGGAGACAGGCTCTTGCTATAGAAAACTGGTAAGTGCTTCAGATCAAACATGCACAAAAACATGCATCAGTAGATGCACATATCAGTGGCCCCTGGAGCCATAGCTCACTATGAGTGGACTATCAGTCACCACTGAAGGAAAAGCCCAATTAGGAGCATTAATTATGCTTCCCTGCCACATAACTCTATCATTCTCTGTTTAGCCCGAAGACTATTTGAGTCTGTAGCTGCATGCTCCATCTTGTGGCATAATCCGATCTAGCTGAAGAAGTTTGCCACGTTTGGCAGAACTGGACTCTGGGACGGGAAATCGAGATGGACAGAGTGACGGCGTTCAGCTCATCCACAGAGAGAGGGGTTTGTAGTGTAAATGAAATATGATCTCCTAGACTAATTCTCAATTCTGCAAGATGTTCCCCAATGCACTGTAAAGAAAAAGCTGTTAGCAAAGCAGATGCAACATTTTTAAGAACTCAAATATATTGTAAGTGATACTTTTTTTTTTTTTTTTTTGTAGATTGTGACTTGCAAACAGCTGAAACTGAATGATGGCTGCAAGATGATGAAGTTGTTAGCGCTGTTGCAGCCAGAAGGTTCAAATCTGGGGCCTTTCTGCGTGGAATTTGAGTTGGGTAAGAATTATCTCACTTCTTCTCATAGCCCAGAGTTTTTGGTTGATTAAATTATTATGTCAGCATGGCGTGTTGTCTCTGTGTTACCCTCTGATCTGCGGTTCATGACCTAGCTATTGATTACTGGACACAGGCCACAGCATCGATGACACAGGCAAATAAATGGAACTTTATTAGATTTAACAAGTCATTTAACCTAAATATTCAAAATGCTCAGAAGGAAGAAGAAAGGAGTAGAAAGTGGTGTTTCACTGCTGACTTCCAAGCAGTACAACAAAGTTTTAGCTCTCTGTTTTTTCACTCTTCAACTTTTCTTTCAGTCAGTTTTGGTCAGATATCAAGTCAACAATGGCTTAGATTTTGTAATATCTCAGAAGAAATGATAATGGTGATGCTCTCAGCAAAGCAGATGACAAAGGTAAAATGTTGCCACCTTGCAGTTTCTTTGTTGGAGCACTGCACAGTTTTGGACAAACATTAGTTATTCTTCTAAGACAGGCCAAGTGAAAGAGCATTTTTAATGATTTTTATCAGATCAGAATCAGTTAAAGAACATGTAACTATAGAACCAGCAAGTTTCTGTCTCACTTCAGCATTTTCACACATTATATTATTTATGGTAACAGGCTAACGTTGAGTTCACCATTGGGGCGAAAATTTAAAAAAATGCTTATGTAAAACACAAGCGTTGTTTTATGTGCCTGCAAAAGTCGGTCTCTTTATTAATCTTTATGTCCATGTCCCGACCTGCAGCTTCCAACCACACACACAACTTGATCTGCTCATCCTGCTCTAAAATATCAAGAGATTACCAGACCTCTGTTTTCATGGCCAACAGAACATTAGCATGCTTATTGCTCGCGCCGATTATCCTCACTATGTACGGTACATTAGCGAACTGTACGATTGGCCAACCCCTGCCTGTGCAATCAACAGAGAGCGTGAATGAATGATCAGCCATTAGCAGGTCGGGTGTGAACTGTGAAAATGGGCTCTCACACCAGTGACTGCAGGAGGCCTCGATTTACTCTAGCCTAGCCTAGCGAGGCTGCTAGCAAGGCCCGGCGCTTGTTGCTCCGTGTGGCGAGGAAATCAGCTAGCTTTGGCCTGCCTGCCCAACGTAATGCAGTGGAACACAGAGAAGTGTAGCGTGCTGAAGCCCAGTCTAGTGAAGAGCTGTGTGCAAGATCATAGTAAGACTCCTTGCTAACATATGCTTGTGTTTAATGCAGCGACCTGCTTCTGCATGGTGGGTTTACACATACCCTGCAGTGAAGGTACTGTGCATGTGTGTATGTGTGTATAATATCAGTAATCAATGTACCTCACACAGCCAGAGTATATCTAGGCCTGGTGTGGTGAGAGGGCTGGAGACCAGCTCTCTGCTTAAACCTGCTTCAGCTGGCGTATTTGGATTTGTGCTTATGGACGTTAAAACTGGAGAATTGAGCTTCAGACACCAACAAGTCAGCCAAGACTCCAAAGGTCCAGGTAACAGGAAGACTATGTCCTTGTGGGTTGTTTGCTATTCATGGCCTGTCTTATTTTGTTCTTTAGGACATCTTTGTGACATCTATGCGTGTGCATGCCTGTGCATTAATTCGTTTATGACCTTTGAGCATTGCACACGAGGGGAGAGAAGAGAGAATCCAGTTAGAGTTTCAGGGATGCTGTAGAAAGGGTACATACAAATCTCAGTGGAGGGAAGTGTGTATAGGTGTGTGTGCGTGCGTGTGTGTGTGTGTGGGTAAACCAGTGTTAGTCTGGTTGCTGTGGAGAGGAAGCTATTAGAGCTGCCAGCATGAAGGCAGTCGCAGGTTGAGGGTCAAAAGAGTATTACAGACAGGAAAAGAGAAGTCTCAAGAAGATAGCCAAGTCAGTCTCAGCTATACTTTGTCAATGTGTAAAAAATGACAAAATTAAAAAGTTACCCTCTGGTGTGAAGCTGCTGGAATTTGATCATAATTTGATTATTTGCACTTTTTTTGCATTTGTCGCCTTGACATAAAACGGAGTACGTTGCAAATGTAGAAGTTTAGCAAGATTTATGCAACCTACTTATCATTGTCTGAATGCATGTGCATAACTATTCAAGTTATAGCAGGGTGTGTTTCGACAAGTGGGACAGACACACAGCACATTAGTCGCAACAAAGTACCCCAGCCACTTTTGATCATGTACAATTTTTGCCTTTATGGAGTTTGACAGGGTTGAATCCTGCGAACACGAGAGGCGAGAAAGTGTGATTCTGTGTTCCAGCCTCATGCCTGCTTGGTTTTTCCCACCTTCACACCCCGCTCTAATTTCACGGCACACAATCCAAGTCGGCCCAGCATGAAGGTTCATCGTCCACCCTTAAGTCAGTGGACCAGAGCAGTCCTCGGGCTGCGGACTGAGCCGCCGGCTAACCGGCGTCAGCTCAACTTCCAGACGCCCACGTGTGCACAGATAATGTTATTGTCGCTTATGCGTGTCCCGACGGAGCCAGGGCTCGTTGTTTTGCGGACCGGGTTTTAGTTCCACTCGCTTGTCAGAATGCACTGCACATGAAAGCTGATGTGAGCTTTCTCTGCGAGAGATTCATGTGTGAAAAGCAGGAAGTCCTTTGGTGACAACATTAGTGTGGCCATGTAAGTGATGGACATTTTTCTCAATTTGGGTCAAACCATTTGCATAGATTTTATGTTTCTTTGGTTTTAAGTTGAAATACTGCATTTCTCCTATGTTAACAAGTGAAGTTATTGAAAAGTAATATGAGCAGACAAAGCTTGATGTTGATGCATATTTGATAACTTTTCTAGATTTTACCAGTGTCATGCAGTTCAGTATGGGTGGATGCGAGACGGTAAACACACTCAAGATTGCACACTGTGTAAATGATGACCTTTCTGTTTCTTGTCACTGAGCAGCTCAAGAATCATCAAACTCCTATCCCATCGTCATATCCATCATATTCACTGTTCAGGATTTCAGAAAATTTAATAAACACTTTGTTATTCCTCTGGCAAATCACTAACTCATCTTTCAAATTCTTGAATCTGGGCATGCATTTGAATAATATCTTCACAAGTTTACCCACATGTGAAGATCTATGCAACCTAAGGTCTTAAAGGGGCTATCATGTGGACATGGCCAGTGGGTGTGTGATAAGGAGGCTTTGTAATGAGCGAGCTTCAAGGCAAATAATTGCTACGCTTTATATTAAATTCACACACTGAGGACTTTTACATTAGTGTCGCTTTTTTGATTTTATACCCTTACTTCTGTTGCACAGGCTTGGATCTGCGATAACGAGCAACACGACGCCGCGAGTGACTGGGATAAATGTTACATTAGGTGTAAACAGTTTTAACCGAATTCACCTGATTTGACCAATTACTGCAGCAATGTTTGCAGCCCTGTTAGTTGTTCACTGATCATGCTCATCATAAACTCTAATTCAATTGACCTGGAGATAAACATGTGTTTATTAGGGTATAAGACGGAGAGTTAGGAGGCTGCTGCACTGAGACGTAGTGATTTGCTGTAGCGTGAGGAGTTTTAGCGCAACGCCTCAAAGTGATAGTGTTAAAGTACAGGAACAGCTATAATGTAGTAATTGTCTGGGCAATGCTTTAGAACAGAAAGAGGGAGAAGGGGGAGGGGGCAGTGGAGACCCAGCTAGTGTCCCATGCTTACTTGGGTGTAATGACCCATCAATGGCGACATCTTGTTTCATCAATTTCTGCTTCTCTTCACTTGTCTGTCTGGACCAGGTCTCTTCCTTTCCTCTGCCCTTCTCCCCTTCTGCCTCCTGGAATCCATCTTCCAGTGTGATTTGTTTTCTCTCCCCCCCCCTTGCATCCTGTCGCTCAATCTCTGCTTCATAGATGTAAAGAAAAATTCTGTGCCATATGCTGAAAAGGACATGTAGTTCCAGGAGTAGTGCATGTTGTTTCAGGAACAATTCCAGTTTTATACATTGTGAACACAGATGAACGCTAACATTAGAAGCTATTATCTGAGTATTATATTTATTGAAAAAGGTAGACATTAAAGAGTACAAAAGAAAATAAAAAAAAACTGAAAAGATGAGACAGAAACTCATCAAGGAGATGCCCAGGAGTCAGAAACACTTATAGAGCAAGAACAAGTACTGGTTATGTTCTACGTGTGACAACAACCTCCTGCATTTCTCATGTGTCTGAAATAAGGATGCATGATGCCATTTCTTTAAAAGAAAACATCCACAGCTTTTTAAAGTTTCCCAAAACGTCTGCAAGGCGACAAGTTTGACGTCTGGCACAGAAACAAAACTGCACATCATCCAATGAACACAGTGAAGCATGGCGGTGGCAGCATTATGATCCTGGGTTACTTTTCCTCTGATTGGAATTTTTTTTTCCCAAGTTGAAAAATTATGAGTCATTCCAAGTTTGTCAGTTTTGGCCAAAAACCATAAAAACTGTCTGGAAGCTGAAAGGAGGAATTTCTTATTTTTCAGCATCACACCAAGTCCAACCCCAACATCAACAAAAGATTAACCTTACCAGAAAAAAACTTGTCCAGAACTAAATTGCACGTGAAATTTCTGCGGTCGCTGCAAGCTGTAGACAATCCGATAGATGTTGAGAATGGAAAAAGAAAACACATAAAGGAAAAATGTCCCTAAAGAAATCCCTATAAAACAACTGACAGCACTTTGAATGTCTACCTTTTATTGTTTTTGGCTTTTATTTATTTTTTTTTTTTAGAGATAACAATGATCATTTATCATAGATATATTTGTCTAGAGCTGAGACTTTGAAATGATAGCTGCATGCTAAAAAGCAAAGGTGGTAGCCAAGTGAACCGAACACAACATACCAGCATAAATTGCATTGTAATGGTCTTTGTCAGATGTGTGTGTGTGTGTGTGTGTGAGTTTGTGTTTTTGTGTGTGTGCGTGAAGACGCAGGGGGCCCAGCTGATGAAGCCTCTCGCTGGGACACTGGCAGGCCTGGCTCGCCGCAGGCCCGGCTCTCAGCTCCACCTCTGACAGGCTTCATACTTATTGCTCAATGACATTCGATGTTTTCCTTCAGTTTGCTGTAAGATTGATTTCCCAGATATGTTTGAAATATCTCCAGAGCCCTAGAGCAGGGTGACTGGCACAGTGGCGTGGAGAAGGGAGAGAGACAGAGAAGGCAGTGCAGCAGGGGAGCAGAGGGGAGACGGCTTGTTTAGAGTAAGAAAAAAGTAGTAAATGTAATAAAAATTTTTAAAAAAGACATTGCAGAATGCTGAATAAGTGGTGTTTGTTTTGGTTGGAAGTGAAAGATACTGGAGCTGATGATTGATTTATACCGTCTTTGCTTTGATTTTTATTTTGGTGCATTATTAAACTTCAAAGAGATTTAAAAGACAAACTGCAGAAGCAGCGAGAAAAGTTATGGTGAAATTTTTTTCCGAATAAAGCGAAGGAAAAAAAAAAGAACCATGAGAGTCTGTGTCAACACTTACTATTAAATATGCTGTTAATATTGCAATGAAACAATGTAACCTTTATATCTAAATACAGATGAACAAATTGAGTCCCTCCAATAAAAGACAAATTTTAACGTTAAATCGGTTCTTCTCAAATGATTTGATTGAATTATTTTGGGGTTCAATATATTGATTTTAGTTTCATTATTATACTGTGTTCTTTGACTATAACATCTTTGTTTCTGTTTTTACTTTAGTTCAGCTCTTTCCTAGTGATTTTAGATTAGTATGTTTATTTCTTGTGTCTAGTTATTCTTTGTAACTCGTTTAGTATCTTCCATATGTCTACTCATTCTTAGTTAGACGATTTTAGGTAAAATAATGCCAAAAAGGTTGATTTCGGGTTGAGTTTTACCTTACTTCCTACTGCGTATCCCAAGTATACTGGAGCTTAATGCTGTGAAATGATGTCTGGTCATTCTGCTGCTGTATTTTCTGGTAGAGAGCCGAATTAATTGCTCCATCAATTACAGAAACCCATCAAGGTCCTGAAGCAGCAAAGCAGCCCCAGACCATCTATCATGTTTGACTGTCCACATGATATTAAAAAATAACAAACAAAAACAAAACACAGATTTTCAACACACCTTTCAAAAAGTTTCTTTCACCCCATCAGTCCACAGAACATTGTCCCAAAAATGGTGGGAATAATTCATAAGGGAAAAGCGAGACAGGACTTTGTTCCTCATCTGTCTTCAATTGGAGAAATCCCAGACAAGAGGAGCGAACAGAGAACAAAATTAAGTGGTGATTGTGTTGGAAGGTAATGGCCTGGCTAAGCTGTGGTTGGCTTGTTGAAACAGAATGACAGCAGGTTGCTGAAATCTTGAAAGAGAGAATGCAAGTAAGTTTACTCTGTTCTGAAAGAAGCAGGTTTGAATAGTTCACTGCTGACAAGAGTCGTAGTACTGCTCATCTAAACTTTTTTGTTTTATCTAGAATACCCAAACAAACTTATCAAATACACTGACACTGCTCCAGCGTGA